ATGGTTACCATCCGCGTTTGTTCCCAGATGTACTGCAAGCATCTGCAGTCACGAGGGTGACAGATTGGCTCCAGGAGCTCCAGTCTCAGCACCAACCATTGATGGAGCAACTGCGCCAGGCCAAGGATGCGTACAAGGCCCAGGCCGACCGCCACCACCAGGTGGGGCCGGAACTCCACGTCGGCGAGCCATGGGGCTATATGAATTCTAATTGGACTTCGTTTGAATTGGGCAATTGTATCCAGGCTGCAATTAGCTTTTTGGTCCCTTAGGAACAACTGAGCAACTTCCCTAGAGTGGAAGACCAGAGCCTATAATAATAATAAAAAATCCCATAGAAAGGCCAAGGCAAAGACATCTCTCTCAAGAAATGTCCAAACCTGTGCCACTACAAGGTGACATGGTCAATATGAAAGCCCTACGGGGATTCACCAGGGATTGTTGCTGCTGTGATATGATGAAGGTGTGAGATCACAGGAGAGCTAGCTTTGACACCTGGGAACACACAAAAAAGGCAGAAACAAAACAAACTGCATTTTTCACTCATTATTTGACCTTCCCGCTAAGTGTAAAGCATAGACCACTATGGAGAATGTTTCTCCCAAAGTGCTAGAATGCCACAAGTAATTTAGTAACAAAATGCAACATGTGTTATTTTTTTATGTGATATCCTATGTCCAGCTATGTGCACTGCTACACCTGCAAATAACCTTAAGAGGCCTGACATGCAAGTCTCTTAAGATTTACACGAAGGCATCCATTTGCAACATACCAGGTTATTATTTGTGGGGCAACAATTTTGTAGAAAAAAATTGAAGGAATGGGTTTCAGTGCAGTAAGTTTAAAACTGACTCACCCCCCCTTTTTTGGTCTTTCAAAAGAGAGCACTCTAAAATGCCTAAAACTTGAGCTGTTGAGCAAAAAGCATAACAAGGACACGGCTGCATAAACAAGCTCTCTCCTTTATCAGTCACGGCTAGGGATGACTCTCTAGGGGAACAGAGAAAACACGTCAGTACTTTATCTTATGTGCTGACCACAAAATACGCGCAGACCGATGTCCAGGAAAAACGCCAGAAGCGTGTTCCCGGAGATGGTGACCTCTGGCTCCAAGATAGGAGTAGGAACAGGAATACCCTTTTATGGTCAGGAGTGCAGGAAGGAAATCCCTTTATGGTTAAGAGTTCCTGAGCAGGAAAATCTGTGATGTCAAAATGCTTGAACAAGCTGACGTGGCTGGGGAAGGGGGAGAGGGTGTCTGGAGGATATAAATACTGCATGGAGGACTTCCGGGTCAGCGCCATTGGTGAATGGCGGAGTTCCTCCGATTGGAGGAACGGGCTCCGCGAAAACTGGGTCTTCCCGCCGCGGCAAAGGTGGGGACCCGCTAGAAATCCCAGGCAGAGGAAGCCTGGGAACGTGGGGATCGGCAGGGCACCAGAAGCGCCCCCCTACTCGCGGGGAATCCCAGCTAGGGGCTCCGGAGCGAAGTGGGGTGAGAAGCGTGGTGCTACGAACTGACTGCTACTTTCACGGAGTGAAGCCGCACAGCCATTGCCAGAGAGCGCTGACTTTTTCCTGTGGACAATTGGACTTAAAACAAGTACCCGTGAGTAGAAACGGAAAATTGGATCAAGAAATTGCTTTAATTTGGTATCGAAGCGGGAAGGTGCAAACAGGAAGTCTGCCTTCCGCTTTTTTGTATATAGACTAAAGCAAAAATTTTGCAAGCTAAAGCCGGGAAGTTGTTAAAAAAGACTAAATTTCCCTCATTTAGAACCACTGAAACCCCCCTTGGAAGCAGGAGAAAAGGGGGGGGGCTTTGCTTAATCCCAGTAGGAGAGGGAGTGAAGAAGGATAAGTTTCCACCGTCTCTAACCTGGGAACGGGGTGTCAGAGACAGAAAACTGTCGGAGAGGTTCATTGACTGTGAACGTAACACTTTGACAGATAGCTAATGAAGAGAAACAAGTTGACTCTAATGTTGCCTTTTGCATCTTAAAGAAACAAAATACCTGAAAAACATCTGAAGTATCTGAAAAATAAAAGTAACTTTCCTTTGTCTTAAAAAAAAAAAAAATGGATACAAGTAGATTGTCTCCTCTAGAGGGAGCTTGCTAAATTGTTGCTGCAGCATATTTGAGACCCAACATCTGTGAGATAAAGACTGTGGGAACAGTCTTTTCTGACCTTGAACAAAGATGAGCTGGGAGAAAGACTGGGTGCTTGCTCTATGCAAGACAAATGCTTTGTTGGAACAGATGCATGAGAAGATGGACTTGATGAATGAGAAAATGGATTTGACTGTTGTGGTTAATAACATTGATACAGAAATCATCCAAGAACCAATCTATCAATCTGCACTGACTGGGCAAGTGCAGATGACAATGGAGGAGGATGCGGCTGCACCTCAAATAGTACAAATGGAGAGACCCGAGGCCCTACAGGAGCATAAGCCGCTGTTTTTGAAAATTGAAGTTGGAGTGGGCCAAGGGAGTCTGGAGACGAGGAGGTTCCTAGCCTTGGAGAGACCTTGAAATTTGATCTTAAATTCATTTTGGATTATATCGAGGACTGTGGGGAGTGGGACTGTGGGGAACAGGTTTGCTGGATGAAGGGTGATGGAGATAATTTTGGGTTGGAATCCCCCAGAGACCTACTCCTCAATGAGAAAGGAAAGAAACTAAGACAGAGACCAACAAAAGACAAGGAAAAGGGCAAGCACAAACAAGATGAAGAAGAATTGCAGAAGGGACATGGAAGAGATTTAAGGGCCTCGGACATAAGGCTTCCAGGTTGATGGACTAGATGGAATGGACAATAAGGACTGACATGACCCGTGACCAGGAAGAAGAGACGCTGGATGATGATTGAAAGAGAATTTATAATGGGAATTTTTTATTTTAGAATTAGCTAATGAATATTAGGGAAAATGTGGGAATGAAACTATACGACTCTAGCAGAAATGATATTAGGAGCTATGTATATTTGAAATTTAAGATTTAAGTCTTAAGGCACTTAGGGGTAAGATAAGGTCAAATAAATTAAGGTAATTTGAATAACAGAATATGGGGAAAGATGGTAAGGATTTGTTGAGTTAACTATTAGGTTAAATTGTTAAGATAAATTTTATAACAAAAATTGAGAAAGATGGAAAGAATTTGCTGAAATAATTACTAAACTAGAACACAAAAACGGAGGTGTGAGGAGGTCAATGAAACAAGCAAATGGAAATTATGGATATGCAATCTGGGATTTGTGTGCTCCCCCCCCCCTTTTTTCTTCTTTTTTACTTTCTTTTGCTGTATTGTTGTATTGGTTTTTCATGTTTTTCATATTTTGTGCTTTTCTCTTTTTTTTTTACTTGCTTGTTTTTTTTCCTTTTTTGTATTGTAGTGTTGTTTTTTATTTGTTCTTATTCTTGTAATTCTGAAATTATCAATAAATATTATTATTTTTTTTTTAAAAAAGATATAAATACTGCATGAAACTTCTTATTTCTTTGGACTTGCTGTGGAGTCACCACGCAAGTGCCTTCTGCTATCCGGAGAGCAGAATAAACTCTTTCTTTGAACCAACCTCGGCGTCATTTGACTTCCTTCCTCCTGTCCCAGAGCAATGCAGACCCAATCAGTGAACTCCAATAAGGCTACAAAATTATATCCTCAAAGGGGGGAATTGTTATAAGAATTTTTAGGTGATATTATATATATATATATATATATATATATAACACACACACACACACACACACACACACATATATATACATATATATAAATGTACCAAGCAAACACATATATAAATATATAAACCACATGTCCAAAACCCACAGGAAAAGTCCTAAAGCCAGTTTGACTCTTTCACTCTTTCAGTCACCTCAAATATTTCTCAAGGTAAAAACAATGCACTCAGATTTCTGTTGTAGACTGCCTTTTCTGTGATGTATGTATGATGTTTCTGGGGGTGGTCTTGGACTCCAGGGCGGGCAATTAAAAATGTCTTTATAAGGGCTTTCATGCATGGCTCGGGGTCCTCCTCCTCTCTCCTGCGTGTGGGGGAGAACCCTGTTGCAACAGTTAATAAAGAACAGGCTTACTAGCTGCTTTGCTTCTCAATATTCTTTGGTTGGTCTCTGTTATTTTCTCCTACCAATAGAGAACCTACAAAAAAGACTCTATATGGGCCCTTGGGTACCCCATAAGGAAAAAGGAGCAGGTTTTTTTTACTTAGCTCACCTGCAATCATGTGTGGTGTGTTAGTAATTCACTCCTCCCGTTGTTGAATATGTGGCTAGTATGTCACATGCCTGTGTTTACTTTGCTAGGATTGGAAATTGTAAGAATGGAAGTCAGTCTTATCTCTTCTGCTCTGCTGTGCTTTTGCACTGGTCTTTGTCTCTCTGTCTGTTGCTGAAGAAGAGAGAGGATGCCATTATGATCCGTTTGGTCTCGTCTGCAGATGTGATGAGCATCCCCTCAGTTCCTTCATCCAAGTCACTTATCAAGACGTTGAACAACAACGGGCCCAGGACAGAACCCTGCAGCACCCCTCTGGTCACTTTTCCCCAGGATGAGGAGGAACCATGAAGGAGTCCTCTTTGGGTTTGGTCCGTCAAATCCACCTAACAGTTACCTCATTCAGCCTCATTTTACCAGCTTCCTCACATAAATACCACAGAGGACTTTGTCAAAAGCCTTACTGAAATCAAAATACACAATTTCCACAGCAGTCCACTGATCAACAAAGTTTGTAACTCCATCCAAAAAAAGAAAAGAAAAGGAGAGATTTCTCTGGCTTGGCTTGTTTTTGAGAAAGCCATGCTTTCATCCTGTATGTTTATAATGTAAAATCTTCAGATGAAGGGCAAATAAATTTTTAAAAGAATAAATGAGGATATAGACAAGCTGGAACATGTGCAAAGGAAGGAGATTCATGTCTTTATTTAATTTGCATACCACCCGACCCAGTGCTGCCGACTTGAATAAAATATTGGTGGAGGGGCCAGGTAAGGGCCACCTTGCACTATCAATCACATGATGCATGCACACCATTTGAATGGCAATGCCTATAAAGGCAGCGACTTTTTAAAAAAGTAATATTTTGAGCCCGTAGTTCAATTTCCCAGCAGCTCCCCTTGCCCCGCAGAACACTTCTAGCATTCCATCTCCTCTACCTGTGGCATTGTTCAGCAGTGGGGAAAGTGACCTCTTCACACCGGATGTCCATTTGGTATGGCCCTTTCCAAGTTTGTCTTTCATTTGTTCTCCTATGTGTGTTGCCAGTAGAAGCCAAAATTCTGTGGGTACTCTAGGTGGTGCAGAAAGCTGTTTTTGGACTACAACTCCCGTCATCCCTAGCTAGCAGGACCAATGGGGAGGGATGATGGAAACTATAGTCCCGGGAGCTGCTGGGGACCCAAGTTTGGGAAAGCCTCCTTTAAAGCAACTATTGCGTTTGGCCCGCAAATATGGGACCTGTCCACATTTGTATTTTCTTGTATTTTGTTTTTCTTATGACCTTTGTGCGGTTTTTTAAAATTTCTTAAAAGGGCAAATTGATAGCGAAATTGTATGGCAAGTTGTGGAAGAATAAAAGGTTGCATTTGAAAAAAACACAAAGAAAACCTGGGGGTTGGCCTCCTCTGATGGGAAGTTTTGCTTCTGCACATGAGTCTGGCAAACCACTCTAAGCTGAAAACATTCCTTCCTAGAATGTTCAGTTCACATTGAGTTCATGGAACATTGTACCCTGACCTGTTCTTACTGTATGGTTGACCACATCTACGGAACGCGATGGTTATACTCCGTTAAGTTTTGCTATATCAATCACTAGTTATAGTTTAAGTCTTGCTATATCAATCATTAGTAATTGTTTAATTACGAGGTCTTCACGCCTGTCCAATTCTGTGTTCCCTTTCCCAACCTTTAATCTATTGATGATTAATGCCTATATACAACCCTTGCATTGTATTTGTATTAACCAATCAGCAACAAGCACATATGTGGCAATGCTGTAATATTCAATAAAAGGGACTCCCCGACACATGTTCGGGAGATGCCTCCCATATGACACTTGTCATTCGTCTGTCGTTTATTTCAACCCAACATCTGGTGACCCTCGACGTGCCAGATCCCTTTACGCAGCCTCTCTACTTCACTCGACTGGAAAAGTCTCAGCGCGCTACTTCGTGAGTATGGGGGGGGGACTGACAAAGTTCCAACAGGAGCATGCCAAGGAGCAGCTTCATCTCGTTAGACAGCGGGTGGCGGGTGCTCATGTTTCTTTGAAAGAAATTGAACAATTGTTATGTGAGATTCCTTGCCAGTGCCCCTAGTACCCAGAATCGGGCTCTCTGGGATCAGAAGCTTGGCAAAAGATCGGAAAAACCCTCTTCTCAGAACCGAGGGCTCCGATTCATTGTCTGCTCACTTGGTAGAAATGTGCAGATGCCGTCGCTAAATTAGGACCACAGGCATCTCCGTCGGCCCCTGCTCTTTTAGCCGCAGCAGACAATCCCCCACCTTACCCTAAGCTTCTGCCTCCATCGCAGCCTTGCCAACCCCTCCCTACGCTTCAGCCCACATCCACCCCCCCATCCCTCCTTCGCCTGCCTCAGCCCCTGCGCGCTCTCCCACAGGAGCTGTGCGCGCCGCGCTTTCTCAAGCTAGGCAGCAAGGGCTCCTCTCCTTAGAGGAAGAGGCTGGATGGGCTGGCGAAATGCCATCTGCTTTCCCTATCTCCTATGCGAACCCCGGCACTGCACAACAGCAGATCATGTATGAGGCGCTTCCTTATTCTGTCCTGAGAGCATTAAGGAAAGCCATTACTGATTCTGGCCTCAAATCTTCTTATGTGCTAGGGATGCTGGAGGGGATCGCAAATGGTACACAATGCTACCTCAAGATTGGAAGGATTTGATGTGCATGCTTTTATCTCCTGCTCAGTATGTGGTTTTTGAAAGTGAATTTAAGCATAGAGCATCAGCCCTGGCTGATCCACAGCATTCAGCCAGCCAACTCTTTGGCGCTGGTTTGTATGATAATATACCAGCCCAGGCGCAATTGACACCTTTACATTTCAGTCGCACCGCAACCTGTGTACAACGCGCCTTTCGGAAAGTCCCTGTCTCAGGGCAACCACTGAGCTCCTTCGTTAATATTAAGCAACAACATTCGGAGCCTTACCATCAATTTATAGATAGATTGAAAGAATCAAACACCAGGCAGATTGATGACCCTACAGCTCAAAATGAATTGATGAAAAAATTGGCCTTTGAAAATGCAAACACCGATTGCATTTTGCAGTCAATCATACATCGCCCCAAATATGACCTGGCCGATATGATTCAAACCTGTGCGGATGTTGGCAGCCAGAGCCAAGCGATGTCTTTGCTTGCCGGTGCTATCCAGGCTGGCAATAAGCCAACGGGTAATTGCTTCAATTGCAAACGCCCAGGTCATTTTGCTAAACAATGCAGAGCTCCTGGCGGGGAGCAAACAGGAATGGTGATGCCAATAAGGCTAAGCCTTCCAAGAAATGCCCAAAATGTGGAAAAGGCTATCATTGGGCAAATCAGTGCAGGAGTTCGGGAAACTCCATGGGGGCCCAGCTCTCGGGCCAGGACAAATAGAGAGCCCTCCGCCGTTAGTTTCCACTATTGAAAATTTTCCTAAGGATACACCCTCTGATTTCACCATTGCTTTAATCAATCAAGAAACCAAAGACGCTGTTTTACCTGGTGAAATTGTGCTCATGCCCACCCAACTGGCGGGCCCACTACCACCTAAGGTCGCAGGCTTAATTTTACCCAAATTCTCTGCGGCCAAAGAAGGAATCCTGATTATTCCAGGAGTCCTAGATCCTGACTATGTGGGCACAATCATGGTTCAACTTTGGAGCCATATGCCCATGCAGTTAAAAAAGGGTGAGTCTTGGGCGTATTTGGTAGTGCTCCCTTCTCATCCTACTGCTTCTATTATGGATAGTAATTTGCACCAGCTTTCTCCCCCCCCTCTCTCCACAGCTGTTAGCTGTAATCCAGAGGATTGGTGAACAGAAACTTCTTCGTAAGTATAAAATCAATGGCAGAGTTCTGGAAGGCTTGATTGACACGGGCGCAGACATTTCTGTCATATCCAGTAATTGCTGGGACCCCACGTGGCCCCTTGAGTCTGCCTCTGCAGTTTGGGGTGTGGGTGGACCTCAAACCTCTTCCAAAAGCGTACAGTGGTTACCTGTTTCTCTGCCTGATAGCTCTGAAACCATTGCATACACCCAGCCCTGTGTGCTGAAAATCCACCTCAATCTGTGGGGCAGAGACTTTGGCCATTAAATCCTGCCGTCCAGTCAGCGCTTCCCTGCGTAGTTCTGCTTGGGGGGCTGACCTGGGCAGGAAAGCAGAGTTGCAGCAGTCCTACCGTCCGTGTGAGATACAGGGATAAATCAAGTCCAAAGACAGTTCGTTGCTATCTCTAAAATGTTTATTTACAAGCCATAAATCAGTCACATTCCATCAGAGCTTTCCGGCATCTTTCCCGTGCTAAAAGCACACACAGTCTCTCTGCTGCTTCTTTCAGTCTAAAGTGAAACCAACTCTCACAGACAACACAGACAAAGCCTGTGACGTACGGCCCTGCGTCAGGCCCCTCCCCAGATACAGGACACCAAGGAGTTTTAACCCTGTAAACTCCAAACTCCACACCCCTCTTGCCCTGCATCTGGGGAAATAAGCAACAATGCTCACCCCAAACACAGACCTTCACAGAACTCCTCATGCTTCTGGAAGGTTAATGGTTTTGTGAAACCATCAGCGAGGTTCTTGGTTGAGGGACAGTATTTTAGAGCAACTAGCCCCTCACGAACGCTCTGACGCACATTCTGAAAACGTACGTCCAAATGTTTGGTCCTGGCCTTGAATTGCGCCATCTCGGCCAATTTGAGGCACGGTTGATTGTCTTCATGCACCACGACGGGAAGACAATGCTCTCCACAGAGTTCCTCGACCAAACACGCATAGAACTCCAGCTCTCTGCAAACCTCAGATAGCGCACTGAACTCAGCCTCAGTAGATGAAAGCGCTATGAGACTTTGCTTCCGGGACCTCCACCCAACTACTGAGTTCCCAAACTTCACCACTAGGCCTGACACTGATTTGCGGTCCTCAAGGTTAGCCCAATCAGAATCCACCCAGGCGGTCAGCTTGACACCACCCTCAGCTGACATCTTGAGGCAAAAATCTTTGGTATCTTGCAGGTAACGCAGCACCCGTTTAATACCATTCCAGGCCTGCACATTAGGACTTGAAGCCTCTCTACTGAGCAGATTGACAGCAAACGCTATGTCTGGTCTGCTCCACTGTGACAGATACAGTAGACTACCCAGAGCTGACTGAAAGAGTTCAGTATTTTCGAACACAACGCGTTCTACTTGCTGACATTCTTTCACGTAACCAGCCTCCATGGGAGTTTTGACACCTGCACACTCAGACATTCTGAACTTCTCAAGCAAATGCTCAATCTTACCTTTCTGGCTGAGCAAAAAGCTTCCATCTCTTGCACTCGTTATCTCTACGCCTAGATACGACTTGACATCTCCAAGCTGCTTGATCTTGAACCGTTTTCCAAGCTCCCTAGCAAACTTTTCCACTTGTTTACTTGTCTGTGCCATGATCAAGATATCATCAACAAAAATCTGAGCAGCTTGCTGTGTCTCACCTGAACCTCTAAGGTAAAGACAGCTGTCCGCAACACTTCTCCTGAAACCTAGCTCTTCTAAGGCTTCATTCAGACACATGTTCCAATTTCTGGCAGACTGGCGTAATCCATATCTTGATCATGGCACAGACAAGTAAACAAATCCATAGATGGATTTGTGCAACCGCCACACGGTGCTTGGCACACTGACTCCAAACCCTGGAGGAGGAAGCATGTACAACTCCTCCTGGAGGTCTGAGTTCAGGTAGGCAACATCCACATCAAAATGGTTCACCTTCCAACCTCTCTGTGCAGCAACTGCTAAAAGCGTCCTCAAAGTCTCTGCTCTCGGCGAATAGACCTCCGTGAAGTGGACACCTTTCTTCTGTGTGAATCCTTGAGCTACTAACCTAGCTTTACACTGGGGTTCTCCAGCTTCTGTGGGTTTAAGGCGGTAAACCCATGTGCAACTCACAGCCTGCTTGCCAGCTGGCAACTGTGTGAGAACACACCAAGAGACTCCATTGAGTTCATCTCCTTCTGCATCGCCTCACGCCATTTGCTAGCTTCTTCCTGAGGCAACTTCTGAACATCCTCAAAGGATTCAGGTTCACATCTAGCCACACCTACCCAGACGCTAGTGGCTTCATACCTTTCTGGTGGCTTTCCCTTGGTTGACCTTGCTGACCTCCTCAGCGTGAACTCTGGAACTGCGCCTGATTCACTTGGGCCAGCCACACCATCCCCTGTGTCAGAAACCTCCCCCTCTGACCTGCTGCGCCTTTTGGCCTCACAGCTGGGTTTGCTGGCGAGGATGGTTCACTCCTTGGCTCAGACTTGACAGAGACCTGTGGAGGGGTCTTGGGACTCCCCTTTGAAGAGGTTCAGAGCCTCTGCCTTGGAGATCCCGGCTCTGGACTCGGTGGCTGTGGACTGTCCACCTCAGCAACAGGTTCAGCTTTGTCCTCCTCCTCTTCCTCATCTGAGTCTAACAGAACATCCGGGTTCCCGTCAAGACGTTTCCACCCACTCTGCTCGCAAAACTCAGCACTGCCGCTAATAAGCAGCTTAGACTGGTTGCCAGTAGGGTATGCGAAACGCCACGCCTTTGAGCCCGGCTCATAGCCAACAAAGATCATTTTCCTAGATCTTGGTTCACCCTTTCTGCGAGTGGCCTTTGGAATGAGGACCCAAGCCTCACAGCCAAACACACGCAAGAAATCCACTTTCAGTTTCTTCCCATGCAGCAGAAAGTAGGGCGTGTCTCCCACACTTGAATTGAACACCCTGTTCTGAACAAAGCATGCCGTCTTATAACTCTCAGCCCAAAAGCGCTGTGGCAGACCCGAGTCTGCCAGCATAGCATTCGCTGCTTCCTGTAGGGTGTGGTGTTTTCTCTCCGCAATTCCATTCTGTTGCGGACTGTAGGGGGCAGTCAACCGATGACTGATACCTTTCTGCCTGAAGAAAGATTGCAGCGCAGAACCTGTGAACTCCGCCCCCCGATCAGATTGAAAGGAAACCACCCTGGCGGAGAAACGCAGCTCCACCGTTGTGATCCAATCCCTGATCAGTGCAGCCGCCTCCCACTTGTGTTTAAGTGTAAACAGCCAGGTGTGTCTCGAAAAATCATCAATCAGAACCAAAACATGCTTCGATCCACTTAAAGAAGCTACCTGAATCGGACCACATAAATCTGCATGAATCAGCTCAAAGGGTTTGCTGGTCCTCCTTTCTGACCTGGGATATGTGCATATCGTGACCTTCGATTTTTTACAAGCTTGACAATCTAAGTATTTATCACATGCCTTGAACCCACACCCAATTGTGTTCTCTGCGGCTTTTTTAACATATGACCACCCTGCATGTCCGAATCTCTGATGCCACAAATGTAAACAATCATGGTGTGGTGCTACATTTGCACACTGCACTTGTGCTTCTTCAGGGGACTCTGCAACAGTAGCATCAGTGACAGGCATCTGCACCAGAAAGAGCCTGTCCTTCCCCTCAACACTGTGGAGCTTCTTCCCATTCCTGTAAAAATAACACGTATTGTTAGTAAACACCACATCAAACCCATCAGCAATAAGAGCTGATACACTTAAAAGAGAATGAGCAAGCTCGGGGACCACATAAGCTTGCACCTCATGATCTATAAAGGGACAGTATAAAAGACCAGTTTCAGTTAATTGTCTCTTAGAACCATCTGCCATCGAGACAAAACGTCCAGATTTAACTGTCTTGCAATTTCTCAGGAGCCCACCAGATGGCACCAGGCTGTGGGTCGCTCCCGTATCGACGACAAGAGATAAAGTGGCTCTCTGGCTGTCTTCCAAGGTTGCCATGGCAACGCTCGCACCCCCACCGGGGCCTCTGCCAGTGTCCTTCCTGGTTGCCATGGTTGCTGCAAGGCCTCTGCTGGTGTTCTCACGCTTCGCCTTAGCAGGTGGCTGACCTTGCATTCCAACGCCTCTGCAGAACAATGCCCTTCGCTGTTGGACTTCGCCTCAGAGCACAAACAACTCTTGGAGACTTTGGCTTTCCCAGAGCTCTTGGAACGGCCTGCACCCCCACTCCTGGGTGCCCAGCTGCCTGAGGAACAGACTGCAACTGCCTTCCTCTTTCCAGCTCTCAGCCTCTCTCCAGGACCATCACACAGACGTGTCGAAGCATAGAAACAGCTTCCCAAAACAGTCCCAGCCCCCTCTGGGCTTGGTGCTCTCTCTGGGCATCCTCCAGCCCCCTCTGGTCTGGCTCCCACTGCGGCCTGACATGCCGTCTTCAGTGCCTGCCACGCGACCCAGGGCTTCTTCCCTTGGAGCTTTGGCAACAGCCAAGCATCAACGCTGGCACTTAAAATGGCTAGCACCCTTTGCTCTCTCTCCAGAGCAGCAGCCACGTCTGCTTCACAAGCTTCCACTGCTCCTGCAGATCTCTCACTGGGCTGGGCAAGAACTGGTTCGGCTTGTGTACACTCCCATATCTGCTTCCCTTCCAGCCAGTAGTACATGCGCTTACTCCAGTCTTCCCAATTGGCCCCATTCAGTCTTTCACCGGGGTAGCTCTCATGGCCTTGCTGTGGCTGAGCAGCAGCCATCTTCCTCCCCCCGGGGCTTAAGCGTACTCACGAGTTGCCAGCTAGCTGGTCCTCCGAAGCAGCAGCCTCCTCTTGGCTCCGCTCTCCACCAGTGTCTCCCACTGCCCTTCTGGCAGGAGCTCAAAGCAGCTCAAAGCTGGCAGCCTTCTTCCCTCCTCACACTTGGCAGGAAACACGGAAGATCCATAACCTTTGGCCATTAAATCCTGCCGTCCAGTCAGCACTTCCCTGCGTAGTTCTGCTTGGGGGGCTGACCTGGGCAGGAAAGCAGAGTCGCTTTTATACGGCCGCTTTTTTCAGCCTTAAAAGGCCATCAATCTCCTGGTGAGCAAATTACCTTGACCTCCTCTCAACAGAAAACCGTTGCCCAGTTAAAGGAAATTATGCGTCTCCACTGGGTTGACCGAGCAATTCTTAATGTCTTGCCAGATGTAGTTATAATGACAGATTCTGTCCAACCCTTTGCGGCCCTTATTCAGTCAGGCCCATCAAAAGTTCATATTATTGAATGGTTGTATTTACATCATACACCAAAAAACACGGTGACTCCTTTAGTGGACCTCCTTGCTCAGCTCATCAGCAAGGGCCGCCGTCGATGCAAAAGTCTTTTTGGCACCGATTGTCGCCAAATTATTGTGCCCATGCCCTTGGAGCAATGGGAGACTGTTCTTTCCACTAGCATGGATTTGCAGTGCGCTTTAGCCGATTTTGTCGGCTTGGTGGACTGCCATGTCCCCGCCGACCCTCGCCTGCAAATGGGTAGACAATTTCCCCTATCTTTTTCTTCCATATTGTCTCCTGTCCCTTTGGATGCTTCTACTGTTTTTACTGATGGAGCCCCCTCCAGGGGGGTGGTTGCATGGCAACAAAATGAGGAATGGCACAGCCTCTACACTCTCCCACAAAAATCAGCTCAGCGTTCTGAGTTAGCAGCTGCTGTTAAAGCTCTGCATCATTTTTCCTTACAGCCAATTAATTTGGTAGTGGACAGCCTTTATGTTGCAAATGTTATAACTCGTTTACAGGGCAGCTATGTAAGTCCCTTATTGGATGACAATCTATTGAGCCTTTTCCTGTCCTTACAATCGCTTCTGTCCAATCGCTCCCACCCACTATTTGTGGTGCACATTTGCTCTCACCAACCCTTCCCAGGCTTTCTCACTGATGGCAATGCAAAAGCAGACTCTTTGCTTAGGGCTCTGCCTGTCTCCCCCATTGAAAGTCATGCTTTCCATCATCAGAATGCAAAAGCTCTTAGCCGCCAATTCCAAATTCTGTTGGAAGCGGCTCGTGCAATTATCCAACAATGCCCTCAATACTCTAATCAGATTGGCCACCCCAGCCCTGGTGTTAATCCCCGTGGGCTGGAGGCCAACCAGTTGTGGCAAATGGATGTGACTCACTTCTCCCCTTTCTCACCTTGGAAATTCATACATGTCTGCATTGACACGTTTTCTGGCTTTATTTGGGCCACCCCTCAAAGGGGAGAACAGGTTAAACATGTTTGCAATCATCTTGTTCGTACCATGTCAGTCATGGGCAAGCCTCATTCCTTAAAAACTGACAATGCCCCAGCGTATTGTGCAAAAACCTTTGCTCAGTTCTGTGAAACTTGGAATATTCACCATTTATTTGGCATCCCTTACAATTCTCAAGGCCAAGCAATTGTTGAACGTGCCAACCGCACCCTAAAAACTGCTTTAATTCGACAGGAAAAGAAGGCCGGAGTTCCAGCCTCACTTTCAGAAAAGGAAGGCTGGTTGGCTAGTGTTCTCTTTACTCTCAATCATTTGAATGTCTCCATACAGGATCATCAACCCTATACTCGTCTCCAAAAACATTTCCAGCAAAAGAGATACTTCCAGCCCCGCTGGTCTCTTATAAAATATTACCCTCCAACAAATGGAGTGAACCAGTAAAACTGATTACCTGGGGAAAGGGTTATGCTGCAGTTTCTACTCCACAGGGTGCTCGTTGGGTTCCCGCACGCTGCGTCCGCCTCTACCATGGCATGGCAACAGGCCCTGCAAAATCTGACACCGCAGTTCGACTGTCAACTCCAGATCGCCCAGGATGCGGCATCCAGCCCCCCCAGGACTCGCAAGCGGGGAAATCGTAATTGACCAGTGACGTGGGGCCAGATAAAATCACTCTCATTTCAAGCTGAACAGCTTAGAAAGGAAAAGCAGCTAGAAGCAACCCGATAATTTACTTCTGTCTCATTTCCTGCCTTAATATTAATTCCATGATAGTGCTCATTTTCAGCGTTTTGTTTTTGCCCCTCTCTGCTTCCGCTCCTAATAGCGGTGGTTCCACACCAATAAATGTGTGGGAATCTTTTGCAAAAACCCTCAATGTTTCTTCCTTTTGCTTAACCCAGCAGGTATCAATAGGTGAGATCCTTGGCTCTTGCCTTATCCCTGTCTGCCATGACCCTTTTGATCTGCAAAATGATACCTGGTTTTATTCATCCCTACCCCAAAATGATTCTCTCCGCACCCTTGGTTATTCAGGTTACCATAACTGGGGTACCCAAGTGCGCTGACGCCCTCCTTTGGCCGTTGATTTGTTGACCCCATACGTGGCTTCCTATAATGTCACTTGTGCCCATATGGTCAATTGCACAAAAACCAACTGTGTGAAAATGGGCAAGGATAATTTTAACTGCTCTAATTATGTAGATATTTCCTATGTATATAAATATACAGAGCTGCCTGAAGGCTGGTTCTGGTCGTGCCCAGGCTATACATTCAATTATATTCCAGCAAACATCAGCCATGGCACGCCCTGCTGCTTAAGCCGTTTGTCCATCATTTTACCCAAAAAGCATCATTTGTCCCGCTCTAGATATCGCCGCTCTGTGGAATTGACTAATGATTGTGACGATTCTGTCTCTCTTCCCAGCAGATCTGAATATATCTCCTTAGCTGTTTCTCTCTTAGGAGTCCCTGGATTGGCTGTACGGAATAGTATGAACATTAACTCTTTAGCTTGCTCCGCGGCAAAAGCTTTGAATTTTACTTCACAAGCTCTGCACCTTTTGAATAAAGAAGAGTGAACTCCAGCATGGACTTCTACAAAATCGTGCTGCTATTGACTATGTGCTCATGCTTCATCATTATGGCTGTGAACAAGTGAATGACATGTGTTGTTTCAATATTACTGATAATTCTAAAGCCATTCAAAAGCAAATCTCTCATTTGCAAAATCTTACACACCACATTAAACAGGACGTTGGATTTTCTGTCCTCTGGGATTCGTTTGCCCAGTGGCTCACTGGTTGGTTGCCAAATCTGAACTGGCTTCGTAATCTTTTTCAATATGCTATTGTCATAATACGTATATTAATTTTGTTATGCTGCTTCATCCAATGCATTCCTGGTCTCATACGTCTTTGGTCTCAGCTTTTCTCTCCTCCTCAGCCACCTAATAAAATTATTGCTGCCTACTTTGCAAAGTGGCAGCACCAACTGTAAATAATAGGGGAGATGTGGGCGAACTTATTTTGGGCATGCGCTGGCAAACCACGTATCCCTAAGTATTTTTGTCCCATTCACCCTGGCAGACTTATTTCGGGCATGCGCTGGCAAACCACGTATCCCGAAGTATTTTGTCCATTTCACCCTGAAATCATACAGCAACATTTCGCACAAAAACAAAAGAAAAAGAAAGGGGGAGATGATGGGAAGTTTTGCTTCTGCACGTGAGTCTGGCAAACCACTCTAAGCTGAAAACATTCCTTCCTAGAATGTTCAGTTCACATTGAGTTCATGGAACATTGTACCCTGACCTGTTCTTACTGTATGGTTGACCACATCTACGGAACGCGATGGTTATACTCTGTTAAGTTTTGCTATATCAATCACTAGTAATAGTTTAAGCCTTGCTATATCAATCATTTGTAATTGTTTAATTACGAGGTCTTCACGCCTGTTCAATTCTGTGTTCCCTTTCCCAACCTTTAATCTGTTGATGATTAATGCCTATATACAACCCTTGCATTGTATTTGTATTAACCAATCAGCAACAAGCACATATGTGGCAATGCTGTAATATTCAATAAAAGGGACTCCCCGACACATGTTCAGGAGATGCCTCCCATATGACACTTGTCATTCGTCTGTCGTTTATTTCAACCCAACACTCCTCAAATATTTTATGGGAGAGCAAAGACCCCTAGGAATTAAAGAGTGGCTGTATTCCCTACCCTCACACGTCTCAGGATGCTTAGAACATAAAAACACAACATAAAAACAAAAAATATCACATGTTAAAATAGCATTAGATGTCAATAAGAAAAAGGCCTGGTTAAAAACGTGTGGATTTGCCTGGCTCCTAAAGCTGTATAATGGATTTTCCGACCTTTGTATGGATTCTTTGATGGGAAGTGAGTTTAGAGCTAACAGTGAAGCTCTTTCCACATTCTACACACAAATAGGGTTTCTCCCTGTATGAAGTCTCTGATGCCTAGTGAAATTGGAGCTATGAGTGAAGCTCTTTCCACATTCGACGCACTGATAGGGTTTCTCCCCTGTATGAATTCTTTGATGGGAAGTGAGAGAAAAGCTCTGACTGAAGCTCTTTCCACATTCTACGCACTGATATGGTTTCTCCCCTGTATGAATTCTTTGATGGGAAGTGAGAGATAAGCTATGAGTGAAGCTTTTTCCACATTCCACACACTGATAGGGTTTTTCCCCTGTATGAACTCTGTGATGGGAAGTGAGAGAGGAGCTATGAGTGAAGCTCTTTCCACATTCCACACACTGATAGGGTTTCTCCCCTGTATGAAGTCTCTGATGCCTAGTGAAACTGGAGCTCTGTCTGAAGCTCTTTCCACATTCCACACACTGATAGGGATTCTAGACTGTTTGAATTCTTTGATGGGAAGTGAGAGAGGAGCTATGAGTGAAGCTCTTTCCACATTCCACACACTGATAGGGCTTCTCCCCTGTATGAATTCTTTGATGGGAAGTGAGACTGTGGCTGTGAGTGAAGCTCTTTCCACATTCCACACACTGATAGGGTTTCTCTCCTGTATGAATTCTCTGATGCTTAGTGAGATCGGAGCTCTGATTGAAGCTCTTTCCACATTCCATGCCCTGATAGAGTTTCTTTTCAATGAGATTTTGTTGATGGGAAGTGGAATGGGAGCTCTGACTGCAGCTTTCTCCACACTCCAAATTTTTGTGTGGCTTCTCCTCTCTGGGGATTTTTTCGTTGTCACCTTTGCTCTCAATTTCCGTTTCATCACAATCTGCATTGGAGACAAAAAGGGATTAGAGCCTCAGGAACAAATGGAGAAGAACTGAAGGGAGTTGGGTGTGTGTTCATTACCTGTATTTGTCATTAACCAACATATTTATTATGAGATTCTGATGAGTTGTTGAATGTTGCTTTGTTTATATAAAGTAGTGGTCAAAATTGTGGAAGACCTTTGGAAAAAAGTGTATTTCAGAGGTTTGCTGGCTCATAACACCACTTCATTTGGAGTTATGTCATAAAATTATATATCAGTGGAAAGATTATTCGATCAAGAATGCAATCAAGATTGCAATCCAACAAAGTTTGTTCAATTACCCGTATTCTATCAAAATTATAGCCAAATAACCAGAAAAAGAAAGCACAACTTGCTTAGGTTGACTTTTGTCAGTGTGTTATGTGATTGCTATCAAGTTGGTTGGTTTTTTGTGTTCTTTCATTTAGTGAGTGCGTAAAACATAATAAAATTATAGAAATGGCACAAGGAGTTGAGTGGTCCCCAGAAAGCGATGTAAGATTGTACTATTAAGTGAGCAAGGCTACAGTTATGAAGAAATTAGAAGAGAGATTGGGGAAAACTTAACCAAAGTTGGCCTTTCTATATTTTGGAAGAGGTATAAGGAGACTCAGTCACTACAAAATCAGACTTGTTAAGGCAGGGAATGTGTACAAAGGCAAGTGACGATGGACGAGTGGAGAGACTGTGCCTACATGACAGAAGAAAATCATCTGGGTGTATACAAGATGACATGGCGCAATGTAATGGGAAGTTGAGTGCAAGGACTGGTCTAAATGTTAGAATTCTAAGGAAAAGCCATTGTTATCTCTCAAGCAAGTTTGAAAAGATTAAACCCATGTTAACTGGACAGCGGAACAATGGGACACTACCTTACTTGACAGGTTGTCTCAAGATATGGCAAAGAGAAATTTCCAAATTCCTGTGGGAAGGGAAGAAACCTAGGATTAAACACCTGATCTTAATAGATTTAAAAGAGAGAGGAGGCTTTTCCCTACCCGACCTAAACCTTTACTACGAGGCAGCCTGTTTCACCTGGCTAAAAGATTGGTGCACGTTGCAGGATCCGGACCTCCTGAACCTGGAAGGTTTTGACAATCATTGGGGATGGCACGCCAACCTGATATATGGAAAAGCGAAAATTCATAAAAATTTTACCAACCATATCATAAGAAAGTCACTCTTTGCTGTATGGGAAAAATATAAAGACCTGATGGAGCCTAAAGTCCCATGGTGGACTTCTCCAATAGAAGCCTGCGCAATAGGTTCCTGCGCAATGTTTGCCATCTTGCCAAAGGTTGCAGGCAGCTTTACCTGCAGCAATTGTATGTTGATTGCCCTCTTAGAAGACAAAGTCCAGCAACTGGAGGAACGTGTAGCTACGCTCCAAAAAATTAGAGAGCTGGAGCTCTTCTTGGAAGCAACAGAGAACACCGTCTCCACCAAGGAGGAGACAGGGGACACCCCTGAGAAGGAGGCTAGTTCACCAACACAGGTGCCAGATATATGGAGAAACGTGACTCAAAGAAGTAGGAGGCCCAGGGTCCGCTCTGATTGTTTAGAAATACACAATCGCTTTGAAGTCCTATCCCCTAGCATGGAAGACGAAGAACAGACTCCATTTGAGGATCTCTCCCTCATTATAGTCGATCAGGTATATGAAGACGAGCAGCAAAGTCAGTCCTCGGGGAATGTGCAGGCGACCTTAGAACGGACAGCTCACAGAAGAACCCCGACCAAACCTAAGAGGAGGCGTGTAGTGGTGATAGGGGATTCCCTACTGAGGGGAACAGAAGCAGTGATCTGTGGGCCTGACAAGATGTCTCGGGAGGTGTGCTGTCTCACCGGGGCTAAGATCCAAGATGTAACTGAACGACTGCAAGGAATCATAAAACCCACTGTCAAATACCCCTTCCTCTTGGTTCATGTGGGAACCAATGACACTGCAAGCAATAGCCTCCAGAAGATCAAAAGAGACTACGAGGCTCTGGGCAGGAAATTGAAGCAATTAAATGCACAAATTGTCATCTCATCTGTCCTCCCAGTTGAACGACGTAGCCCAGGGAGAGAGGGGAAAATAGTGGAAGTGAACAGCTGGCTTCGCAAATGGTGTAAACAGGAACGGTTTGGATTCTTAGATCACGGACTGCAGTTTCTTGAAGATGGACTTCTGGCAAGCGATGGGCTGCACCTCACAACGGTTGGGAGAAATGTTTTTGCCACAAATCTCAGAAACCTCATCAGAAGGGCTTTAAACTGACTAATGTGGGGGGAAGGAGACAGTGCTCCTGAAGGTAGGAGTCTATCAATTGATGAAGATGATCATCCAAATGTCATAGACCAAATGGAGCAAACAGCACACAGACCTAGTGGTGGGAGGAAAAAATCCTTAAATAAGAGACACGGGGAATGATTAATGGACTTCAATGTCTGTACACTAATGCGCAAAGCATGGGAAATAAACAAGATGAGCTTGAGCTCTTGGTACAGCAAACTAAATATGACATAATAGGCATCACTGAAACCTGGTGGGATAAGTCCCACGATTGGAATGTAATAATGGAGGGATACAATCTATTTCAGAGAAACAGACCAGACAAGAAAGGAGGAGGAGTGGCGTTATATGTCAGGGATGTGTATACCTGTGAAGAGATCCAAGATTTAGAACCTCAAAGCCAAAGTGAGAGCATTTGGGTCAAAATTAAGGGAGAGAAGAAGAACAGAGAGCTCATTGTGGGAGTTTACTATAGATCCCCAAGCCAAACGGAGGACATAGATGATGCCTTCCTGGAACAGATGGCCAAGCATGCAAAAGGAAGGGAGACAGTAGTAATGGGGGACTTCAATTACCCGGACATTTGTTGGATGTCAAACTCAGCCAAGAGCATAAGGTCAAACAGATTCCTCACTGGCCTTGCAGACAACTTCATTGTCCAGAAAGTGGGAGAAGCAACAAGAGGAACAGCCATTTTAGATCTGGTCCTAACCAATGTTGATGACCTGGTTAGTGGGGCAGAAGTGGAAGGATCATTAGTGATTATGCTCTTCTGAAGTTTACTATACAGCGGAAAGGAGCAGCCAAGCATACTAGGACTCAATTTCTTGACTTTAAGAATGTCGACTTCATAAAACTTAGGGAAGTGCTGGGTGAGATCCCATGGACAGTAATACTAAAAGGAAAGGGAGTTCATGATGGCTGGGAGTTTGTTAAGAGGGAGATAGTAAAAGCACAACTTCAGGCAATACCAATGAGACGGAAACATGGAAGGTGCCTAAAGAAGCCAGGGTGGCTATCTAAAGAACTTTTAACTGAGTTAAGATTAAAAAAAGATGTGTACAAAAAATGGAAAAGGGGGGAAACCACCAAAGAGGAATTCAAACAAATAGCCAGCACATGTAGACACAAAGTCAGAAAAGCTAAAGCACAGAATGAACTCAGGCTTGATAGAGAGGTTAAAAGCAACAAAAAGGCTTTTATGGGTATGTTCGTAGCAAAAGGAAGAACAAAGAAACAGTGGGGTCACTCAGAGGTGAATATTGTGAAATGCAAACAGGGGACACAGAAAGGGCTGAACTCCTCAATGCCTTCT